TTCAAGACATTTGGAGTCGATCTAGCGATGTCCGTCCGTCCGTCCCTCTGGCTGGTGCGCACTATAACTCTCGAAGGGAGTATCCGTTTTGGTGCAAACTTTGTGCATCGTAATATTATTATCAAACTTCGATCGAGTTGGGAGATTGGCAATGTCGATCTACTCCTTCTGGTACTACCCCCCAAAAAATTGATATTTTCAAAAAAAAAAAAAAAAAAAATATTGACCCAACTTTGCAAATCTCAATATTTGCAGCAGTGCTGGCTCAGGTGCTGAAATGGGGAATATCTGTCCACTACATCAAGATTTAATATATAGTTTATTTTGAATACTGTCGAATCTAGTACAAACAATCTACTACACACATCTCCTATACGTAGGGTATGGGTATCGGAAAAATAAACAAAATCTAGTCATGTCCATGTTGGATGGTTGATGCAACATTCTGCGGCGACAACAACTATGTAATCGTGCATGTGTGCTCAAATGTAACTCCTCTCTCCCGAAAAACAAAACTTACAATGGGAGCAACATTCCGTAAGTTTTGACCCTCTATTTTTGTAGTGGCTGGGTAGTTCGTCTTTTTTTTTTTTGTGCAACTTTTACAAAATACTTTGAATGCAGTTCAAATCTTTGGAAAATTACTTTAAATCACCAAACAATTTTCTCCAAAAAAAAAAAAAAACTTTCTGGGAAAATCCCTCATTTTTGGGGCTTTCTTGTGGATTTGTTGTTAACTAAATTCCCCTCGATCTGTGCATAGCTATTGGTTTCCCACTCATGTTGCTTTTCATGGCATACTTTCCTTTTTTTTAAGATGTGTGCGGCGTTTGCAAGTAAATGTCCTGTTTGCCCTGTCCTGTTTCAAAGTCACGTCGCTCGTTTGTATATTTTAATGCAGCAGACAATGGCCGGGTCAAATTGCAAAAATTACTGCAACTCTATTAGTGGCGCATGTGGAATTTGTGAATGGGTATTGGGGGGGATTTTGAGACGTTTGTGAGCGAGCTTGAATATTTCGTTTCCCAACCTACATTAGCTAAATTGGCAATTTGAATTTTATGTTGCATTAAACGTTCACATGGTAAGCCATTCACAATGTTCTTCATATCGCCTTCTTTTTTTGCCGTTCATATAATTTTATAGACGAGTTTATTTTTACAACTTTATAATAGGGGGATGCGTTTAAGGTTGTATTCGCTATTAATTCTTGCAGCGGGAAATTGGATTAATGTTATTCGCTACTCTTTAAAGTAATTGAAAGCCAAATCCAGAATTTTAGAATCAAATATTAAATATATGAGGTCTAGGTGCCACTTAATTGTAGGATTTTGTGGTAAATGACAACTAAAGGTTCTAAGTCGATTGAGTTCAAATTTAATATTCTAAATTCTAAGAGAGTTCTTCCTTCCTTCTCAAAAAAACACAATATTTATTTTTAATAGTCTTAGCTCTACGGTCCAAGGACTGACAATTGATCAAAGGGATTTTTTCTTGAAAAAGTGCTCAGAAATTCTCAATTTTTTTCTCTGCTATGCCAAATTTTAATGCCCTACACCACACAGTGGTCAGAATATTATGTCTTTGTGCATTTCTTTCTACCATGGAGAAGGGAGCGAGATAGACCCATAGTTGCTATTGAGGATTTTCTTAGACTCACTTTCTGAGTCGATTTATGCATGTTCGTCCGTCTGTCCGTCCATACGTCTGTCCATATATTTTTGTAAACAAAACACAGGTCGCCATAATAATCCGATTGAGACGAAATTTTCCAAACAATATTTGTTGGGCCCAAGGACGAACCCTATTGAAGTTTGGGAGAATCAGTTCAGATATAGTTATAGCTCCCATATATTAGATATAACTATAGCTCCCATATGTATAGTCCCTCACATCCCTAATATACAATCCACAACAGTAATCTTTGGTGCTAGATAGCAGATACATCTCAGAAATATGTGCTAAAAATGTTGTCAAGATCGGTTCAGATTTGGACATAGCTCCCATATATATCATTATCCGATTTCAGGATTATTGTACAACAAATGGCAAATATCAGCACAAATGGACTGAATTTAGGCATTTCCGCAGGTATTCTGCCTAAAAGTAAGTGCTCCAAATTTTGGTGAGAACCGATTCAGATATAGCTATAGCTCCCACATATATATGTTTCATCCGATTTGGTGTTAAAGTCCCTCACATGCGTAATATGCACTCCACAACAATGATATTTGATACCAATGATATTTGAAAATACCTCTGCAAAATTTTAACGAGATCAGCTCAGATATACGAGATCTTTATCCGATTTTGCAGTTATGGCTCACGATACATACTCTCAGAAACATGGCTAGAGAGGCCAAAAAGTGACTCATCGAAATAACGATTTAAGACCCTTGGTCTCTTTGGTCAAAATCCGTTTCAGAACATATTTAATCGATCTAGCAATGTGCGTCCGTCCGTACATCCGTTTGTCTGTCTGTCGTGCTGGCGACCACGATAACTCTCGAAAAGAGTATCCGATTTGGTCTAAACTTGGTACATCGTTATATTATTAGCAAACTTAGGTCGAGTTCGAAGATGGGCAACATCGGTCCCCTCCTTCTGGTAACTCCCCCACAAAAGGTCGAAATTTTCAAAGAAATATTTTACTGCAAAGAAAGAAAACGGATAATCCGATTTTGCTCCATCTTTGCAAATCCCAATTTTTGCATCAGGGCTAAGTGAGGTGCAAAAATGGCCAATATCGGTTCACTCCATCAAAGTGCCCCCCATAAATGGTCAAAATTGTGAATAATTATAACTCTTATAAAATTACAAATTACACATCACAATATTTATATTAAAACAAGATCTGGTGTTAAGATAAAGCATATCGGTCCATTCCTTCTGATACTTCTTCTGGTCAAAGTTTTGAATAACAAAGCGATCATAAAATCCGAAATAAGCATCCGGCGTTCTTCATATCTTATATATCCCAATAATTTCTACTAACACAAGATCTGCTGTGAGTACCTGTCCTACAACGGGTGAAAAATTTGAATAACCATGAATCTTATAAAACGCGAAATTAACATCAGATTCCATTCAGACTTGGCACATCTCAATATTTCCATCAACACAAGATCTGTTATAAAAATGTCAGAAATCGGAAAATTCATTTGGGTCCCTCCCTCACAAAGGGTCAAAGTTTTGAATAACCAAAACGACGATAGAATCCTAAATAGGCATCCTGCTGTTTGAGGATATACAGGGTGAGATAAAAAAAACTGCAACAAAGTCAAATGCCATAATTTTTACATTTTTTTTGGCAAGAATTAGGGCTTTCGAACGGCCAATGAAACCGTCACACGCTGTTCGAATGTTGCTCTACGGTATTTTCGCCCATTCCCGGCGAAGCGCTTGCTTGAAGTAATCGACACTTTGGTGTTTTTTAGTGCCAACCTTGCTTTCCAAAATACTCCAGACCCAATAGTCCAACGAATTGGTATCCGAAGATTTTGGTGGCCATTGTGCGCTGAAAATGAAGCGAGGAACTTCATTTTGTACCATTCTTGGGTGGCGCTTGCTGAGTTCTGTTGGAATGTTCGTGCCCAAGGTTTTAATACACCCTCCAGAATATTTTCGCGATAATATTCGGCATTTATGCTGATGCCACGGTCGATTAATACCAGCGTAGAGCGACCATCAGCTGTTATGGCGACCCACACCATTACCATGGCCGGCGCTTGAGTTCTGGTGGCCAACCGAAGGTGCACATTTTCAGCTGACCTCTTTGGCAAGTAAACCCGATCATTTTGTTTGTTTACAAACTACTGGACCACGAATGTTTTCTCATCGGAGAAAACCAAATTCGGCAGTTAACCACTTTCGGCCAAGCGAAGCAAGTCTTTATCTCTTTTGAGTCTATTTCCTTTCTGTTGCGGTGTAAGTTCTTGAACTTGTTGGAATTGCAATGACTTACGCCGAGCTCATTTTTCAATATTTGCCGAATGGAATATTGCGATATGTTCAGTTAACGAGCCATTTTTCGGCCACTGCGACGCGGGTTTCGATCAAGTCCTTTCTTTACTTTTCGAACGATTTCTGCTGATTTTGCTGTTTTTTCCGTCAACTTCCTTGACGTACGAGATACAAAAGATTTTTTCTCACTTAAGTGCTGGAGTGCTCTAACGATAGCCACTTGTGGTTCTCCAGTCAAGTATAAAAAAATCACACTATTACAGCTGTCGGACGAGTTGCGTAGAAGTGACAGCAGTCTTAAGTTGGTTGCAGTTTTTTCATCTCACCCTGTACATCTGTCGGCAGATCCCACTGATACTTTTTAACTTATTTATAATTTTATCGCCAGCAAAACCTTGAATTTTTAAATCAATATTTCGGTGTCCGCATTCTCCCCCTCAATAATTTAATAGAATACACAATCGCTTTATAACTCAATTCTTATTTCATGTTTCTCTCTTTTTTTTGCCTTTCGAAACAACATTAACGCAAAATTCTATTAAAAAATTTATATTAATTTTATGATCCAATGATGGCGTAAAAGTGTTAAAACATCATCATAAAAATGAACCAAAAAAATACGAGCTGTGGTAACAGGTGGTGCTCACCAAAATGTAGAGATATGAATATTTGATTGACGTTTGAATGGCTTTTCTATTTACAATTCTCTGGAATTTTGCTCTTTATGGCCATCATGTATGCATATCAATGTCGTTCGTTTGATGTGTGGAAAGGATATAAAATGGGCATTTCAAAAAAAAAAAAAAAAGTTTGATAAGAATGGGCAATACGTTTTAATATTTCTTTGATGACAGGAAGAATGGATATTCATGTCAGTCCTTTGCTGTTGCTGCTACATAAAATGGGTTATGAAAATAAATTCATAAAAATTAATGATTTTATATGCGTTTCTTGTTTTAAATGGCATATCCTTTAAAAAATTCTCATATTTGTTTATGATATTCATATTCTTTGTATTCTTTGTTTTCTATTTCTAGTTCTGGGCTGCCTATGTTCCATGTGAGGCCCAACATCGAGATGCAGTACAACTAACATTAGAACAAATCGATGTTATCAAACGTTTGACAGATCGTTATTCACCGCAACTGACGACCTGCACCTCAGCACAAGGTAAGTACAAAGTTCAGAAAAAGAAATTGAAGAAGGACTCTTTAATTTTATTTCTAAATACGCAACATAATATACAACACACGCTAACTACTAAACCATTTACAAAATATGGATTTAATAAAAATATCTTAAGGCTTATGGTCCCAGAGGGAATACATGATTTTATATGGGCAAAAAACACACTTGATTCTAGATGGTTAGGGAAAACAAAGCTGCCAGGAAGGCTCAATACTTCATTACAAAAAAAAAAAAAAACTGGGTTGTTTTCGAAGAAATCCGTTTTAGTATCTGATTTCCGTGGTTTTTTCATTCATATTTCAAGGAGCTTCTTTTTTGTTTTTGAAAATTGAGTGTAACTTCCCTGTTGAAACAAAATATTGCAAATATTCCTCTATTCCTCTGTAAGGAATGTACAAAAGTCGGACGGAGCCGACTATGTGATACTCTACACCACTATGCATATTTAGCAGAGCTCCCGTAAGAAAAATTTGGCAAAGATATTTCAGAGCTGTATTTGATATATTTCCCTGAATATCGTTGTTACGGAGTGCATACAACGGCTGTGGGTAACAAATATGACAAATCGGATGAACAGTATATATGGGAGCTATATCTATATCTGAACCGATCTTCACCAAATTTGACATACTAGCTTCTAGACTTAATTCGGTCGTAAGTTCCAAGTATTTGGGCAAATATTAGACGTTTGGTGCACAATAAAAGGTAAATCGCACGAAGTTATATATGGGAGCTAAATCCAAAGCTGAACCGATCTCGATAAAATTTAGCAAATGTATTTCTGAGCTATATTTGATATATTTCCCCAAATATTGCTGTTACAGAGTGCATATTACGGCTGCGGAGGACAAACACAACAAATCAGATGAACAATATATATGGGAGCTATATCTAAACCGATTTCGATAAAATTCGGCGTACTTATGTTGAGGTCCAATCTGATCGTAAGTGCAAAATTCCATACTATTCGGACTGACATTACACGTTCGGTGCACAATAAAAGGAAAATCCGACGAAGATATATATGGGAGCTAAACAAATGATTTGTGGATAATACAATAAATGCGAACTGTACTTTGTTTACAAAAATACATGGACAGACGGACAGACAGACGGACGGACAGACGGACGGACGAACATGCATAAATCGGCTCAGAATGGGATTCTATGCAGATCATCAAAAGGAACTATGGGTCTATCTCGTTTCCTTTTGCCTGTTACAAACAAATGCACAAAGACATAATACCCTGACCACCTAGTGGTGTAGGGTATAATTACAAACAAATGCACAAAGACATAATACACTGACCACCTAGTGGTGTAGGGTATAAAAAGCTTATATTAAGAATTTATGTAAAGTAGATTATTTCAATGCGAATCATGGCTTTAGAGTATTCACAATTTTGGAACTATATCCAACTCTGAATAGATTTTCAATATTGCAGTATAGCTGGATAGTATACAGGGTGAGATAAAAAAAAACTGCAACAAACTTCAGACTGCTGTCATTCCGACAGCTGTTAAAACTATTCCAGTGACAGCTCATTATATTGTTGACAAGCGTACAAAAGCTTTTTGGTGAGAATTTTCCAGAAAAAAAAATTATTCGTTATGGAATTCAAGCGTTATAGTGTGATTTCTTTTTATTTGGCTGGAAAACCACAAGAGGCTATTGTTAGAGCACTCCAGCATTTAAATGGGAATAAATCGTTTGTGTCTCGTACCATCACTCGTTACCGTGATTTTGGTAGCGTAGCCCGACGTCAAGGAAGTGCACGGAAGAAAACAGCAACATCAGCAGAAATGGTTCGAAAAGTAAAGAAGAGACTTGATCGAAACCCGCGTCACAGTGTCCGAAAAATGGCTCGTGAGCTGGACATATCGCAACATTCCATTCGCAAATATTGAAAATTGAGCTCGTGTTAAAGCCATTGAAATTCCAAAAAGTGAAAATAGACTCAAAAGAGTTGCTTCGCTTGGTCGCAAGTGGTAAACTGGCGAATTTGATTTTCTCCGAGGAGAAAACATTCGTTGTTCAGTAGTTTGTAAACAAACAAAATGATCGTTTTTCTTGCCAAAGAGGTCAGCTGAAAATGTGAACCTTCGGTTGGCCACCAGATCTCAAGCACCGGCCATGGTGATGGTCTGGGCCATAACGCCATAACAGCCGATGGTCGCTCTCCGCTCGTAATAATTGACAGCGGCATCAGCTTGGGCTTGGGCACGCAAACATTTTGGCTGCAAACTTTGGACATACCAACAGGACTCAGCACCATCGCACTCAGCATGCGCCATCCAAGAATGGTCACAAAATAAGGTTCCTCGCTTCATTTCCAGCGCACAATGGCCACCAAAATCTCCGGATACCAATCCGTTGGACTATTTGTGTCCAGAGAGTCGATCAGCTCAAACAAACGCTTCGAACAAATCTAAACTAATTCTAAAATTTGATGCTATTTCCGACATTTTTTGCCTTCATTCAATAAAATTTAAAAAAAGGAAAAAATATGGCGTTTGACTTTGTTGCAGTTTTTTATCTCACCCTGTATATATTCCTGATCAGCGTCAAATTCTAAGACGATTTAGTCCCATCCGTCCGTCCGCCTGTACGTCTGTTAGAATCACGCTAGAGTCAAAGCGAATAAGATAGGAAGCTAAATCAGTTTTTTTTCGGCAGGCAGGTCAATTCTGAAGATGGCCTATATCGGAGCACGATATCTTATGGCCCGTATATAACGGTACCTCCCAATATTCGGTATTCTGATGATTTTATCTACATTTTACAATGGAATTGTCTGAAAATTCATACAAGAAGTTCTTTCTAAGCACTTTACCGCCTGGAAGAGATTTGTCTACATAGGTCCACGATATCATATGGCACCCATACACCTGCACCCCCGATATTCGGTGTTTTGATGATTTTAGGGACATTATTCACTGAAGTTGTTTCAAAATTTCTATTTAGAAATTGTAATTGGTACTACAGTCTATGACAAAAAATTGTGTATGCAGGTCCACGTCTTCATATAGCATCCATATTCGGTATTTTGATGATTTAACCTATATTATTACCGGAGTTGTTTCAAATTTCGTAATGAGAACTACAGTCTATGACGGAAAATTCCTATACAGGCTCAGGACCTATATTCGGTATTTTGACGATTGAAGGAAAACCGAAATTGTTTTAAATTTAGTATATGCAGTTCCTAATATGTACAACAGCCAGTGACATTAAATTGTCTTGGCAGGTCCAGGTCTTCGTATAGCCCCCATATAACGGTACCTTCCTATATTCAGTATTTTGTATTTATACACTGGATTTTTTCCAAGTTTCGTGTTTGAATACTGAAATGGCCTATGATAAAAGGTTGCCTTCGTATAGACCCCATTATAACGCTACTTTCGGTATTCTTAAGATTTAACAGAATTTTTGAGGGATTTTATGTTTTGAAGATTTTTAAATGGAGGAGAGTATTCAAAGTTTGGCCCGGCCGAACTTATTGTTTTTTAGTTGTTTTTTTTTTTTTATCAACAACAATATTTTCACATATGTTTTCCAATTATATAGATTATAGCTAAGCCCGGTGCGCTTCGCTACCCCCTTTGATTTTATATGCATTCAAAATTTCATATACGAATATTTTTTGAATTAAAAAAAAAAAAATAAAACAAATTCAAAATTTTGAAAAAACCTAATTATTGTAATACTTTAATGCGTAAACGAACAAATAGCTCGGTCTACTAACGCGTGAACATGACAGGAACAGCTGACCATGAGAAATGCAGAAACATGGCAAATTTAGTCCGCTTCCACGAACGGTTTGTGCTTCGGATTAATTTCATAGCAAATGCCAAGCGTGCAGGAAACTGTAATCTTTTGAAGTTGAGTGGCATTTCTCTTGCTTTAGAGAATTAGAGGTAGCAACATACTTCCCCGTAACAATCGTATCAATGCAGAGGTGTTGTGGGTCAATGTTTCTAATAAAACCATACCCCAATCTGAACCGGTTTCAATATAATTTGACAAAATTTAATTTTACACCAAATTCCGTCACACCTTGCATATTGAAATTGGAGGTACATACCGTGTTTGGTGCTATATATAAATCTTAGCCTATTTTTTATGAATTTATCAAAATTTATAATTATAACTAAATTCCGCCACACATCTGTATTTCATTGGAATCGGACATATCGTGTTTGGTACATAACATACATGAAATCGGCCGAAATATATAAAATGTCTATGCAGGCTCAGGTCTTCGTATAGGCCACTATATTTGGTATTTTGACGATTTTAGGTACAATATTCACCGAAATTGTTTTTAATTTAGTATGTAAAGATCTTAATAGGTACCACAGCCTGTGACATTAAATTGTCTATTCAGGTACAGGTCTTCGTATAGGCCCCATATATCGGTACCTCCCTATATTCGGTATTTGGCGATTTTAGTGGTATTATTCACCGGAATTGTTTCATATTTCGTATTTGAAGTTTCTAATGGGTACTACAGTCTATGACAGAAAATTGTCTATGCCACGTTCTCGTATAGCCCCCATATATCGGCACCTCCCATTATTCGGTATTTTGACGACTTTGGGTACAATATTCACCGGAATTGTTTCATATTTGAAGTTCCTAATAGGTACCACAGCTAGTGACATTAAATTGTCTTGGCAGGTCCAGGTCTTCGTATAGCCCCATATAACGGTACCTTCCTATATTCAGTATTTTCATGATTTTAACTGCATTATTCAACGGCTTTTTTTAATGTTTCGTATTTGAATATTGCAATGGCATATGACAAAAGTTGGCTATGCAGGACCACGTCTTCGTTTAGATATATACGGTATTTTTAATATTTTAGCAGAATTTGGAATTTCATATCGATTTTTTTAATTTTATAACTGCTACTTAATTTCGTGAAGAAAATGTAGTCCGCCTTCACATTTACAAAACAAATAAAAATAAAAAAATCCAT